ATTCCCGAATGGAAGTGGGAACAAATCTCTATGGATTTCATCACCAAGTTACCGCGAACGGCGAGAGGAGTCGATGCGATTTGGGTAATTGTGGATCGGCTGACAAAGAGCGCTCATTTTCTAGCTATTAGTGAGAGCTCTTCTGCGGAGAAGTTGGCTGAGTTATATGTGAGGGAAGTAGTATCTCGGCACGGGGTGCCGATCTCGATTATTTCGGACCGCGACGTGCGTTTCACTTCCAGGTTCTGGAAGAAATTCCATGAAGAGTTGGGTACTAAGTTACATTTCAGTACGGCATATCATCCTCAGACAGACGGCCAGAGTGAACGGACAATTCAGACACTCGAGGACATGCTTCGGGCATGTGTGTTGGACTTCGGAGGGAGCTGGGACACCTATCTACCTTTAGCAGAGTTCTCGTATAACAACAGCCATCATTCGAGCATTGGTATGCCGCCCTTTGAGCTGTTGTATGGGCGGAGGTGTCGCACCCCCATCTGTTGGGGTGAGGTGGGACAACAGGTTATGGGTAGCACGGAGATCGTGCTTCAGACAACCGAGCAAATTCAGATGGTCAGGCAAAGGTTGTTGACCGCTCAGAGCCGGCAGAAGAGTTATTCAGACAGGCGACGGTCCGAGCTTGAGTTCCAAGTTGGTGATCTCGTGCTCCTGAAGGTCTCTCCTTGGAAAGGAGTGATTCGGTTCAGGAAGAGGGGCAAGTTGGGGCCCCGGTATATTGGTCCTTTCCGTGTGATCGCAAGGGTGGGTCGGGTAGCCTACCGTTTAGACTTGCCAGCAGAGTTGGGACAGATTCACGATACTTTCCATGTGTCGCAACTGCAGAAATGTATAGCCGACGAATCAGCGGTGGTTCCGTTAGGGGATATTCAGGTGGATGCAAGTCTGAATTATGCTGAAAGACCTGTGGCCATCAAAGATCGGAAGATCAAGGTTTTGAGAAACAAGGAGGTACCCCTGGTATTGGTTCAGTGGCAGCATCAGAAGGGATCAGAGATGACCTGGAGCCGGAACATGAGATGCGGGAGCAGCATCCGGAGCTTTTTGCCTAAGCGGGACTTCGAGGGCGAAGTCTTATTCTAGTGGGGGAGATTTGTAACAGCCCGAATCCCCAGTATCTTCATTTCATATATTTTTGTCATTCTGTGAGGGGACTCGGAGTTGGTAGTCGAACTCGCCGAGTCGGGTCGCGTTTTTGAGCGGGGGTTCGCATCCGGACTCAGCGAGTCCAAGGGATGGACTCGGCGAGTCCGTGCTGTTTGTTGAAACCCTAATTTCCCGGTCCTAAGCCCTATTTAAAGGACCTTATGGCCCTCATATGCGGCCACCTTGAACCCTAAGAGCCTCCATACGTCTGTAAGCCCTTGTGAGTGTGTTTGAAGGCCTTTTGTTCATCATTTTGTGTGATATTGCAAGGAAAGGAGGGAGAGGAGCAAGCTTGAAGTGTTGGGGAGCTTAGATCTGTTGCTATTTCATCAAGGGGGTCTTCTTGAGGTAATTTTCTGAGCCAATCTTCGTGTTTTGTGTTGATGGGCCAAATCTAGGGTTTCTTCTTGCATTTCTTGGCTTGAATAAGAAGTATGAGAGGTCCCATGGAGACATGGAACCTAGATCTGGACTTAAGCAGGTCCAGGAGACCCCTCATGACAAGCTTTATGTCCATTCTTTTGAGTTAGAAGCTAAACTTGCCAAATAAGTGGTTGTTTCTTCAAAATAAGCCTTGTATGCATTGCATGGCAACCAAGACTAAGACTTTACGTGACAAATAAGCTTGGGAAGGCCAGATCTATGTATGTATGGAACGGATCTGACCGCAAAAGCCAGTTTTAGCTGGTGCATGGCATGGACTCGCCGAGTCTGAAGAACAGACTCGACGAGTCGCTTGAAGATTGTCCTTGAGACCATCCTGTGTGTAGTCCGGACCGAGTTGTGGGCGACTCAGTGAGTCGCAGAGAGTTGGAAAGGTTTTGACAGGTGGACCGAGTCAGGTTGGGACTCGCCGAGTTGACCTTCGACTCGGCGAGTTGAGTCGCGGTGGCCCTGTGATTCAGGCCCAGGTGGAACTCGTCGAGTCGGGGGAGTACTCGACGAGTCAAAGGGAAAATTCTTGAGAGTTGGTAAAAACGCGTAGACTCGCCGAGTCGCTATTGTGCACTCGCCGAGTCTGGTCCAAATTGTCTAAAGACTGCTGACCAAGTCAACCTGTGTTGACTTGATATGGATGGTCCACCTTAGTGGTACAAGTAATAATTATAGATTTATAATATCATAGGAGGATTGCAGCTCGAGGGTTCGAGCCCGAGTGATTCCAGGATTCACGATTAGCGACTTAGCGAGGCATACGAGGTGAGTCTTCTCACTATACTGTACCCGGAAGGGTTTTGACTGTGTGACCGGAAGGTCGAATATGATATGAAATATATGCCTTATGTGTGTTAAGTTATTTGCTATATGTGTCATGTATGATATGTTTGATATGGGCCGGAAGGCGTGGTCATATGGACTATAAGGGTTGACGTGGGTAGGACCGGAAGGTTTACCCAGTCGGGACGGAAGTCCCCTGAGACACATGGACCGGAAGGTCAAGGCCTGGAAAGGCGTATGTGCGTATGTTGTATTTTGGGAACTCACTAAGCTTTATGCTTATAGTTGTTGCATTATGTGTTTCAGGTACGAGTGAGGACCGTAGGAAGGCGCCAGCGTGACCGTACACACACTCGGGGAAAACTATTTTATCTTTTGTTATGTAATCGGTTGTGACTACATTGTTACTTTGGAATCTAAACTTATTACTCATGTTTTGATGGTTGTAAAAAAATGAAAATTTTTGGTTGGAAATTTTATGACGTTACATCTAAACTTCTGGAAACCATTTTGATTGTGTAGACAGGGACAGTCTGAAATGGAAGCTATAATGAACCTACATGCAAAGTAGTCGGTTAGAGATTTGAACCGTTGAAAATGTACCGAATTTTTTTTAAAAAAAAATGATCCGTTTTTAGAGTAAACATAGTATAAGTCACAAAGCACAAATACAATTTTGTATTTTAATATATTTTATGTAAATTACAACAAAAAATTCCTGTGGTTTTATATTTTCTGTGTTTTGTCTAATATTTAAAAACTTTTTTAATTTTGGTCTCATCATCAAAGTTTGCAATATATTTTCAGTTTTAAAGCAAAACTATTATCTATAAATGCAAGACAAGATGGTGTTTCTTAAATGGGTTGCTACGATTCGCACTAAGCTCTCTCCTTTCATATTAATTTAAACTAGGTTATAACACGTGAGAATCACGATTATAAAAAAGAATTAAACTTTCATAAGAAAACTAATAATTACTATTAAATTATTTTAAATAAATTATTTATTAAAATATATATTTTTTAGTTATATAAAATTATAATAATTGATTAAAATGAATATGTGAAATTTGAAGATAAAGGTGCAGGAATTTTTTGGATCTAATTGGGTAAAAAAACCGAATCCATGATTTTAATATCCATAGATTTAGTGGTTACATATGTAATTAATGGTTATATATGTACATCGGAGAAGAAGTATAAGCCACACTTTGGTAAAATATTAATTAGGAAAAACAAAAGATTAACAAGTGATATATTATTAATTAGTATGTCTAAAAGAATGATACATAACAAAAAAAAAATATAATTTTTTTATTAGAATAGGGATATATAATTGCTTAAATAAAATCAACTAAGCTAACTTAGTTAGACTACAAACATATTAATAAGAAAAAAAAATTGAAAATACAATGGTGTAATTTGTATTTTTTTTTCAAAGTACAATGTGAAAATAGAAGTGTTTTCTTGGCATTAGCCTTTTATATATATTAACCGTGGTTTCCACGGGTTATAACCTAATATATATATATATATATATATATATATATATATATATATATATATATATATATATATATATATAAAATAGGGAGATATGAAGTGAGTGTAAACATTTAAACGAAATGGGGGCGAGATTGCATTCTTTCTCTTTTTTTATAACATTTTTTTTTACATATAATTAAAGTATAAGACCCAATCCTAGGTGGGTCCATGCACCGCACTAACACCAAATTGCATAAAATCACTGATTATTTTTAGGGGTGTTCGTGGTTCGGTTTGATGCGGTTTATACTTAAAACCGCAAACCGTACCACATATGCGATTTGTTATTTTCGGGAACTGCAGACTGCATTGTAAAGGTAATAAACCGCGTTATGCGGTGTGGTTTTGTGCGGGCGGTTTTGCGGTTTTTGTGCAGTTTATGCGGTTTCATCAACATAAATATTAATTTTAGTTTTAAACATAATAAGTGTGTGGTGCTTTATATTCTATGAAGAAAAGATTAATTGTCTGTATAAGCATCTTGTTTATGCATAACATCAAAATATTTTACAATATTTTAGAATTATAATATGAACTTATTGTACTCTAAACACATATTTTTGATATAGTTGGTTTCTCATTTTGACTCATGTTTATCAATCGAAATCTCATAAACATTATATATGTGGTATGTTGCAGTGCGGTTTGAACCGCGGTTTGATGACTATAAACCGCACCACGAGTGTCCAAAACTGCATTATTCGGTACGGTATAGTGCGGTGTGGGCAGTTTATACGGTTTGAGCGGTTTGATGCATACCCTATTTATTTTATGATTGAACTTAACAGCTACAACAATATAAAGATATTAAAATTAGTTTTTCACTATTTGATGTCAATTATATATCATGTGAAAATAGCACCACAAGGTCCACAATAACACATGAAATACTCGTTGTTCATAAATAACAGTGATCATGATTCTGTTCCTAATTAACATATTTTTGTATGTTTCTCTATGTTTTTTTCTGCTAAATCTCAAACAATCTAGCAACAAGTTGTTTACTTTTTATGCAAAATCATCTTAAATAGCGCACCTCTCATATTTTTAAATTCGTAAACTAGTGCTTCCAAGCATTTTTCTACTTCCATTTCAAGCTACAGTTAACATCTTTATACGAAGTTCAAGATGAATGTGAGTACATCTATCTCCATCTTAAGAGTAATCTTGAAGATTTAATCTTAATCTTATATCTATTCTACTATATCAGGCACTAGGTTGGATGCACAGAAAATTCAGGAAAAACAATGATGAAGAAAAGAGAAATGTCTCCACGAGTACTTACTCTATGCTTTCCTAACATTTTTATATATGTACACTTAACTGAACCCCCCTCCCTTTTAAAGTATCGCCTGTGCAACTACTGCCGACACAATCTTTTTCCTTCATGATCACATGTTTGGAAGAAATTGTGACAAAATAAAAAAGTATACTGTAGTAGGACGTTTGTTTAAAAGTTGTGTGTCAAAAGTCACGAAAACTCACTAAAACACAACCTTAGTGGAAAAAACAATTTATTTAGAAACATTTAAACTTCCAATGCAGGGAAATCATCTTCATCATGTTTCTCAGCACTATTGGGGCTTCACGAACAACAATATTATCCTGGAGAAAAGAAATTCTCTGCACACTTCAGGCAACCCAGATTATATTCAGAATCATCTGTTGCATTTGAAGCGCATAGTGTAAAAGAAGTAGATGAAGAAGAAACCGTTGACATGAGCATGCAGTTCATTCACACATTTCTTGCAATTGGAACTCTTGGTTCAATCTCAGTTACTGAAGATTCTATGACACCAAAAGTTGCATTGCAAATTGAATCGGAAGCAGCAAAAAATGAATTGCAGTCTCTAAACAAATTAGAGAAGCTGAATGAAAAAGAAGTAAATAGCGTAACTAATGAATCGCGCAACGAGAAAGTCGTTACTTTAGATGAGAAGGAAATCAATGGCATGGACACCAAAGATAACAAAAGTATGGTGATATGTCCAGTTAAAGAGTTTTCAGAAATGCCACCAACGAAAGAAGGAGCAAGAAAACAAAAACCTAAGCCAACCAACCTTTTCAAGAAATCAGAAGCCCATGCCATGCATTTTATGAAAAAAATGCTAAAAAAGCTTGATATCAAATCACAGCGTAGCCCAACTTCTGCTAATATTTATGATCCTACTGAGAAGAAACCAACTAGGGTAGGTCTTCATCTCTATGAACTTCATTTAAATGAGTATATAGTCTTGTGCATGTCTTAAAATAGTAATATATATCTTCGTATTATCTTTTACAGGTGTTTCGAAAATCAAGAAAAATCCACCCCGAAGCAGCTAATCGTTATGTCAGTAAGTCTTACAACTCTGAGATGATGAAGCGCACGTCTTATGATGAAGACAATGATAAACAACTGAAAGTAAAGGATGAAGGCACAAAGCGTCCTCATGATGGAATGTTAAAGAAAGAAACAGTTACTTGCTACCCAACTGGAGAAAAAGCGCATTGGATTAAAACTGATGCAGAATGTAAGTACAAATGCATTTGGAGTGTTGATCATCAATGTTTATAAAGTTTACTCATCCATATTACTATCTTCTACTATTTGCATTGTAGATTTCGTGCTGGAGTTTTAAAAAATCGAGAAGATTAATGTCGACGTTAATTCGTGATCAAGTTGTGTTACCCTTGGGAAAAGGGGTTTGGTTATGTGATATCTTGGTATCAAGGAGTGAAAAGCTTGTTGTAGACTTATATAAATTAAGTCACAACGTAAGAATAAAGATAAGTACAAAATAATTAAACAAGAATTAGCAGACATGAGTGAACGGTATATGATACATATACCGTATATGTATGATATATATTCCATTAGTGCATGTAAGACCGCACCTAATATATATGATGTATTTTTCATAATTATTAAATATTGAAGTTTGTGTGACAACTATAATCTACATGCTATGTTGGAGACTAAGGAATCAAGGAAATTAGGATGCAACATAATTGCACTTTATACAAATAAACTTGGAAAATAAAGCGACAACATCATTTACTCTTGCATGCATGAGATATGAATTTGTACTCATAAAGGTATAGGCTAGCTGATGGGTTTTCTATATATGTACAAAAATTAGCCGTTCAAATACTTTAGATTTACATGGAAGTTGAATTGATTGCTTTTATATCATAATCTTACGAAAGTTGACAACATCACTCGTACTCTCGCAGATAAGAATCATAAGATTATACAGATGTGCAAATGGGCATATATCCAATTCTTGTACAAAAAGGGTTAGATTAAATACGTTGGTTGGCCCATTCTTTGTTAAATTGTTTTTCTTTTCAATTACTAACGTCTTATTATCCAAAAAAAAATTATGTAATTTTTTTTTCATTAGACAGGGATTATTTTTATAATTTTTTAAACTTATGGACCGTTAACATGGATACTTTTTACAATTTATGTTCTACGAATCAAATCTGCCTAACATAGGAAAGTTTTTAAATACATATATTGTTTTCTAAAGAAAAACAATCTTCATACCGACTATTTCAATAAATTACAGAGATAACTTTTATAATTTATTTTCTATATAGTACTAAACCTATCAATATACGAAATTGTTGTGGCCAAAATATAATATATATAAATATATTATGACCAAAATATGAAAATATAAAACAAAACTATTAATTTGCTTATTCAAATTAGTGTATATAATAGTTTATAACTAGTGGGTGAGCCCGTGGTGAACCACGGGTCATCCTTGTGGCTGTTCTTGCAAACTTATTGAATACGGTTTACTGAAATACATCTTTTATTCACAAAGGATGACGATTAGAAAACAATTACAAAATAAAACCCAAAACGGAAGCACAAATCGGTAGATGGAAAATGGACAAAAGAAAAGTCAAAATGATCAACAGGACTAAAAGTGAGAAATATTAAAACATGTGTGACCAATCTGTAATGAAAAATAAATAATAAAACAAAAAAAAAAGAGGAAGGAAAAAATGGTAAAATGACTTAAGGTGATATATATTAAAAGACATGTGTTCAATCTTTAATTACCAAAGCACTAAAACTAAACTGTCCAACTATACAAATTATTGTGGCAAAATCTTGAAACATAAAATATGTACTATTTCTATTTACCATGGTTATTAATATATTTCCGTGTCTATTTGGTTTTTCTCTAAGAATATCAAAGGTGGGGGATCAAAAGCGCCACTCTAAAAAGTAATACGACAAATGCTTGAGAGGTACAAGGGACCAAGTATATATATATCTTTACTCTTTACTACTTATAAAAGAAATCTAACTATTTCTATAAATAGATTGAATATAATAATATTATTTTTTTAAGACGTCCAAACTATTAAGCTTGAAGTACAACCCATTTATAATATAATAATATTAAAACTTTAACCATATCTTTTATCCCTTAAAAATCTCGTATCAAATTAATAGAAGAATTTATTTGCAAATTGAACCCGTCAATCTCAACACTTCAACCATTTGAAGCGGTCAATGTCAACAATTTATAGATGATCTCTTCTCTCACATTGGTAACAAACAATCTCATAATATCTATCTTCGTAATCCCTTCAAAGTAAGAAATATACGCACACTCTCTCGAAAAATCCTAACCAGTAACCAAGACAGTATAACCACCACCACCACAGCCGCTCTGCCTCCTTTCGCCTTCAATCAACCACTATCACGACTACCGCCCTTCCTCTCACCCACGACATGAACTTTCTTTTGGAACATAATATTTTTCTTTAAAAAAATATCGTTGAAAGAAGCTATTTGTCCCCGCCGCTGTACGCGGGTAACGGCTAGTATATATATATATATATATATATATATATATATATATATATATATATATATATATATATATATATATATATATATATATAAAGACAAGATAAATTAAAAATGAAACTAGGAGATAGACTGATGAGGAATTTACAATAACTCGATTAATAATAATTCATATCATGCTGAATATATATTTTTTAGAATGTGTAAATTTTATTCATAACTAGTAAGAGTTTACTAAAGAAATGAAAACTAAGGGGAGGAAATATTTCAGAACATAAAAAGCTTTACGCAATAAATTGTATACCCTCTACACCATTTGACGAAAATTTTAATATAAGGAAAGATAAAATAAAAACGAAATTACCATATAAGTTTAAGATGAAACGTAAAACTCGATTATAAAAATACATAATTCACATCATATTGAATATATTATGTATCCAACTATATGACTCCACTCTAACCATATTGATAAGACTCAATGCACGCTTTTTTCTATGAAAGATAACTTCGTTTGATCGTTTCTAACTTTACACACCTCCCCAAATAGTGTGTCCACTACTGTCACGACAACCGAAAACCTGTCATATTTAGATATCCTAAAATTCTTTATTAAATTAGGGAAATCTTCAGAAAAATCCTAAAATTTTAATCTAATTTATAAAAAAGTCCCAAACTAATTTTTGTTTACAGAAAAACACAGAATACCGGCTAAAACTTCAAAAAAACCCTTTTTGGCCGGTTTCGTAGATTTAGCCGGTATTCTGTCATTTTTCGTTAGTTTGCTCAAAATTAGGACTTTTCTGAAAATTACCCGATAACCAAAAATATTGGGACTTTTTTGAAAATTACTATGGAATTAATGGATATTATTATTAACAAATCATTTATAAACATAAAAAATATTTTTTTATTATAAACAAAGGAAATACATTTGTTGTTAATTTCTAGAAATAGAATGGTCGATTATGTACTTCTCAATTGTTTGTTGACCACTTCAAAATTTCTATGTTCTTCATATGTATCGTTGTGGGTGTCATAGTGAGAAGTACTCTATTAGGCGTGACCAATACAAGAGTTGATAATATTTATTAATACACAATCAATAAGTGTCTACTTGCTATTAAGCATGATGCTATATGATCATGTGTTATTAGAAAATATCATTACACGAACATATAGATCTTTCATTATGTTCTTTAACCTAACTACCACCTAACCTCCAAACATTACCCGGTAACAACCATAAAATTACACACATCTATCGAGAGTGAAAAGTAAACTTTGAATGACAATTTAAATAGATAATCACCCTTCACTTGTTTCCATATAAATTATCATTCAGAGTTCACTTTTCATATTTTATAGATGTGTGTTAGCCGATGATTGTTAACATGTAAGGTATGAATGTTGGTTGGTAGTTAGGTTAAACAACATAAGAAGAACACCAACATTAGAGGAATGCTAACTAACTTCATCTCACCATCATACCCACAATAATGCATAGGAAGAACGTAGAGAGTTTGAGTGGTCAGGAAACAATAGAGGAGTACTTAGGCCACCAATATTTTGGTTATTATGTAATTTATACAAGATTTGTTAATAATAATATCCATTAATTTCATGGTAATTTTCAAAAAAATCCCAATATTTTGGTTATTATGTAATTTTTGGAAAAGTCCCAAAATTTCGAGCAAACTAACGAAAAAGGACAGAATACCGGCAAAATCTGCGAAACCGGCCGAAAAGGGTTTTTTCGAAGTTTTAACCGGTATTCTATGCTTTTCTGTAAATAAAATTTATTTTGGGACTTTTTCATAAATTGGATTAAAATTTTGGGACTTTTCTGGAGATTTCCCATATATATGAGTAGTCTATCTAACGTCATTCAAAAATGTATATATTATGGCTCTAAATAGCATGTCATAATGCATTTCAAGGTGTCATAAAGCACTTTAAGGTGTTAGTGGGACATTTAAATAACGTGTTAGTGTTAATGTGTGTTTTATCGCTTTATGACGTGAGTTTTTTTTTTTTTTTTCACGGATTTTTCTAATTTTTTGATGGCGCTTAAATTAATTGAATTTTTGTTAACTTTTTTATGTCAAATATTAATATGATACTTCTAAAAACTTGATGTATTTTGTAAAATTCAATAATTATATGATTTATATGTTTTAATCTATATAAAATAGTGCTGTTTTAAAAACATCATGGTTCGTCATGCTCATCATGGCTTAACTTTGACGTTGCAACCAAGCCGCAACTCACGTTATTTAGAACATTGGTACATCTAAGACCATCTAAAATATATATCACAAGCAACTATGTGATACACTTCGCAACAACCACTATTCATGAACACCAACCCAATGGTTAGTGGCCGTTAATTGTGGTAAAGAGGACGAATCACGACATCTAATGAGCTTCTCTTTCTATTTATCTCTTTTTGTTTCTATCTAACTCTCTTTACCTCTCTACAGTTTAAGGAATATAAACACACACATACACATATATATATATATATATATATATATATATATATATATATATATATATATAATTTAAATAAAAAAAAAATAAGAGGAATATAATGATGGGTATATCAACTTCTAATGGTTGTGTGTGGTGATGAGGTGACATCTATCATATTAGTGGTTAGTAGAAGGTACTTAGGACGGCCTAATATCCCATCATTGCTCAACATTTCAACAGACCGACTTCATGTTGGGATATTGAACCGACAAACATGGTCCACAGTTTCAATAAAACATCACAAAAAAGACATAACAAGTTGTCCAAGTATTATTTTGTATATGGGCTCTATTAATTACACATACTCTTCATTAAAAAAATTTAGTCTTGCCCAACACCAATTTTCCCTAATTAGTTTCTCCATCATGTTTAGTAATTGTTTCCACTTATCCCGCTTGGAAGAGCTAAGAGCCATGATGGTCACCACCTCTACGAACTTCTTATGTCCCTCTTTTTTTATGACTATCTCTAGTATCTCTTCCCAAGATGTATTTCTAACCCCATCTAATAATCATATCAAATAGTTTGCAATTAACATTTGAATAGAGTGTAAATCAAGAGATAACTACTTGGGAAATTGAATTTTAAAACTACTATCACGCAACGATTATTCCTTCCACGATATAGTTTATTCCACATTTCCAATCATTTTCTTCATCTAAAAAAATGTTAATGCCAATATAGATCATCTCCAAATACAACTTCGTAATTCCTTTTTCCATATGCAAGGATAGCCCTTTTTCATAACCCTTGCTGAAAACATATTGTGATGTCCAAACAAAATGACATGTGCGGAATTATTCCATGAATCACACAAAAGTTGCAAGTAATCTTATCAAAGATCTTGTATATTATTGGTGAGAAATGGAACATACAAATAAACTTTGTTTTCTCAACCTAACTGATGTCGATATAGAAAATGAGTCTTTGTATGAAGCTTTTATAACAAGGTAAGCTAAAGGCTATATATATATATATATATATATATATATATATATATATATATATATATATATATATATATATATATATATATATATATATATATATATATATATATATATATATATATATATATATATATATATATATATATTGGTCAAATACATCACATTTAAAAATAAACTAAAAAACCATTAAGCATAAGATTCTTCACGTACCCTCAGGACCATCGTATTATTAATAACCTATTTCGATAATCTTTTCTATTTTAGTATCCAAATCCACTTTAACATATCAAAGGTCCGTTAAGAGCATACAAACTCCCCAAATTGAGGCCTATTTCACACACAAAAAGTATTTGAAAATTTTAGTATTTGATTATTTATTTGGGTTATGATACCGGCTCACGATTATATTAGGATTTAAAGACTACAAACCATAGTCTCCATGGTTACTTCTTTATGAGATGCTTTTGAATGGGAAATATCAACATTTAAACTCTTTTTAATATATATGATTATATATGCTTCATAGGATAGTCAACACATATTTCCAGTTTAGTAGAGGATGTAAGAGGCAACAGTTGTAGAGTTCAAAATCCTATTATTATTGCCAATACATTATCCAAAAAATTGTGTTCATCCACCCAACGTGTAATTTTCCACATACGAAAACTTTTCTTTTGAATTGAATGAACATATCATTGATAGTGTGATAAATACTTCATACTACAATGTTTTTTCCATCATTTTCTAGTCTTAAACATTGTTATGTGTTGGGAAATTTAGGGTTTGTGGAGATCTGGATACCAGCTTAGATCGTGATATCACTTTCCGAACTGATATTTCTACCCTATGTCTGGGTTACAAGAAATTCAGTCTAGGATAATCCAAGCGGACACCTACGTTTCTAGGCACAGAAAACGTAAGCTATTATGCTAAAGGGTTCTGTGAATGTGTGATGAAAAATGAGAGCTAAAGAACAACCGTCTTCTGAAAAGGAAGAGGTGTTTATATATTAAACACGATTAGGGTTTCATTAGTGTTGGGCCGTCATTACTTGCTTTGAAAGCAAGTAATATTAATCCGGATTAGGGGCGCTTCATTAGGCTCTGCCCCTTGGACCCCGCCAAAGGGGTGCTACCCCTTTGGAAACCCCAGACCCCCGACTAGTCGTCGAATCGGCTTCTAACTCGATCTTATACATGCGTGCACTCCGCACAACCCCGTACATGTCTTAGAGTACAAACCATGAAGCCCCTTAGCTCACATTTTAGTTCCAGTTACTTAAAATGACATGGTGACACTAAAATCACCAACATTATGCACTTGCAAGCTTTACTTTCACACACTTTAAACTCTTTATCTAGAGTAATCGAACAAAACGGTATTGCCTTTGTTTCTTTAAAGGGAAAATGCCTTAAAAGACCAATTAAGTTTCAAAAACGTTCATATTACCCCAATTACGTTTTTGTTGTTCAAAAAACACCAACGAAATTATGTTTTTTATTATAAAGCCAAATAAAGTTACAGATCAAATTAACGTTTTTTTAATGGTGACCGGCATGTTGCAGGTAAACGATGGGGGTAAATGAGTTGGCATATTTCTGTTGCGTTGGCATATGTGTTGGCATATCTACGTGGCATTTGTGTTAGATAGATATAGGGCATAATGGGGGACACGACTCCTTAATCAATCGACTTCTTCAATCGACTTCTTCAACATGGCTTCTTCGTCTCGATCCTCCAACTCATGCTCAAGATCAAAAATTTCCAAGTCAAAATGCACAATTCATAAGGCACATCCTTGTGATTGTGGGTTTCCTTCTCGCATCTGGATATCAACAACAAAGGCAAATCCTGGTAAAAAATTTAGGGTTTGTCCTAACTCTTTGGTAAGTATATATCTTAAAGCTTGTTCTTGTTTGGGTCCCTTTTTGTTTTTCATGCTACAATATTGTTTGTTTATGTTATAATTGAAGATGAAGGATCCAAAGGATAAATGTGATTTCTGGGAATGGGTTGATGATGATGAAGAAATTATAACCAAGAACAAGAATAAGAAAGATGAAGAACATGATTTCAATACTGAAGTGAAGATTGCAATATTGGAACATGATTTCAGTGAGTACAAGATGAAGACTGATAAGGAATGTAAGAGTTTTAGAAAGGAATTGGATAAAATGAAATGTTTAGTGTTGATGTTTGTTGTTTTGTTTGTACTGAAGTACATGATTTAGTGTTAAGTTTATTATGTAAGGAAAATGTACTTTGAAATTATCAGGATATGTATCTTCAAAGTAGTTTCATTGTACTCATGTAAAATGGTTACGAAGTGGGAATGAAAAGAAGGTATTTGTGAAGACTGATACACATAGAAGGTGTTTATGAAAGCTAATAGTCCATAAAAGTAACATACTTTTTATTGATTGAAAATAGCAAGGGCAAAATAGTCCATAATAAGATTACACTTTATCAAATGATAATAAGAAGGGAAAAAAAATAGTCCATAAAAGGATTGCACTTTATCAAATGATAATAACATGGACAAAATAGTCCATAAAACATGTGTTTGACATTATGCATGTAATTTGTGTTGTAAATGGTTTTTAAACACAAGGGCAGTTTTATTGAAAACACACATAATAGCAACATACTTTTATTGATTGAAAATAGCAAGGGCAAAATAGTCCATAAAAGGATTGCACTTTATCAAATGATAATAGGAAGGGGAAAATAGTCTATAAAAGGATTGCACTTTATCAAATGATAATAACAGGGACAAAATAGTGCATAAAACATGTGTTTGACATTATGCATGTAATTTGTGTTGTAAATGGTTTTTAAACACAAGGGCAGTTTTATTGAAAACACACATAATAGCAACATACTTTTATTGATTGAAAATAGCAAGGGCAAAATAGTCCATAAAAGGATTGCACTTTATCAAATGATAATAGGAAGGGCAAAATAGTCCATAAAAGGATTGCACTTTATCAAATGATAATAACAGGGACAAAATAGTCCATAAAACATGTGTTTGACATTATGCATGTAATTTGTGTTGTAAATGGTTTTTAAACACAAGGGCAGTTTTATTGAAAACACACATAATAGCAACATACTTTTATTGATTGAAAATAGCAAGGGCAAAATAGTCCATAAAAGGATTGCACTTTATCAAATGATAATAGGAAGGGCAAAATAGTCCATAAAAGGATTGCACTTTATCAAATGATAATAACAGGGACAAAATAGTCCATAAAACATGTGTTTGACATTATGCATGTAATTTGTGTTTTAAATGGTTTTTAAACACAAGGGCAGTTTTACTGAAAGCACACATAATAGCAACATACTTTTATTGATTGAAAATAGCAAGGGCAAAATAGTCCATAATAAGATTACACTTTATCAAATGATAATAGGAAGGTCAAAATAGTCCATAAAAACTGTGTTTGACATTATGCATGTAATTTGTGTTGTAAATGGTTTTTAAACACAAGGGCAGTTTTATTGACAAAATAGTCCCACAAAATAGTTTTTACCAATTTTAACATAGTTTTAACAAATAGGGGCAAAATGGTACATTGTTATAATATGCATAAAAGGTAATAAACTACATATCAAAGCATAATTAAACCACATAATGAAGCATGTGCACATGGCACTAAATGTTGGTAAATGTGCACAACACCAAAAGACAAGCCTAAGAATCAAAAAGACAAGCCTAAGCACCAAAAGATGTGCACTAAGCACCAAAAGATGTGCCATTTCAAAGTATCTGACATAATCCTAATAGAACACACTTATCGTAGTTTATAGTAACTGGATTTTCAGTACTTTCCCCACTTCCATCTTTTGTTACCACCTTCTTCCTTAACTTCAGTTTCATGATCCTCTTAGAAGGTAATCGCCTTTTGTTCGCAACAAAATGCTGAAAAAAAACAGGTTGATGCTGATGGTGATGATTTTCTTGATGGTCAATCTCATCCTCTTGTTGTTCAATTTCATCCTCCTGGTGGTCTTCAATATCGCCTTCTTCAACAGCCTCTTCTTCACCAATTCCATCTTCACTAACCCCATCTTCATTGACCCCATCTTCACTAATCCCATCTTGACTAACCCCTTCTTCAACATCCCCTTCACTAACAGTTGCTTTATTTGCTGCATTGTTAAAACAAAAATAATTATTATTATACAAATCTAGATGAATGAATAATCAAAATAAAAACGAACCTTCTTTGAGCAATGGACATCGCCTCTTGTTGTGTCCTTCTTGATGACAATTACTACATCTTGAGATGGACATCCCTGTCTTGTTAATTTTATGCTTTCCTTCATTTTCTGTAGGACATTTCATTCTGTTTACTTTAGGCCTTCCTGGCATTCTCCTACGCCGAGGTGGTAATATGGGATCAAATAGAGCATCAGGCCACATGTTAGCTCCATTTATTGGTTTGACTGGATACCTATAGCAACTTCCAAACATGCTTGTTTTAAACCATACGGCTACATAGTCCTCTGCATTTCCATTAAAGGTATAATATAACAGCAATGGCATGCACACAAGGGATACCACTGAGTTGCCAGGCTCTGCAACCACAAGTTTTGCTTTCAAGGTGAACAACATAAACTTCATGGGCTAATTTCACTTCATATTCTTCCTCGCCACTTGGAATAACATCCCAGTACCTGAAATCATATTAAGAAGGTAAGTTATTTCATATTAAATCACTTACAATTAAATAATATACCTTTGTTCTTCTTTCATCTTCTCAATCCTCTTTCTAATAGAGGGGCAGATTTCCATGTCCCACTTATGCCCCTTAATCTTTTGATTGTACATCCTCTCCATCACGTACAATCTGATTTCTTCCAGCATTGTTATTATTGGTTTCTTCCGGGCCTCTACAATTGCTGCATTGAAAGATTCAGATATACCGTTTTCCACGGCATCACAACAAGTCTGAGGTTCAAAGAATGCTCTGCACCATGTATTTGGGTCTCTTTCTATCAGGTGCTCATAAGCTTCTGTGGACATTGTACGAATTTCCCTCATGTATGATCGGAAATTAGAATCGGTTGTAGCCTTTTCAGCCCTCCAAAATAACCTCCTAAACTCAACACCCGTGAACCCCTTCTTCTTAAAGTTGGCATAGATGTGTCGGGCACAATTCCTATGCTCACATGATGGTGACCTTTCCTTAACAGCCTCCATTAAACCCTACAAGGTGATAACAAATTTCAGTTTTAAAGTACATAATAACACATAATATAGTAAGTAAAATGTAAACTATAACACACCTTGTGTTGGTCTGAAATAATTGTAAGACCCCTACCATCTCCCATCTCAATGTCCTCAAGTAGAAGATCAATGAACCACATCCATGTTTCCTTGCTTTCAACTGGCACAACAGCCCATGCTAGAGGATACATTTGGTTGTTTGCGTCCCTACCAACGGCTGTTAACAACTCACATCTGCAAATACCCTTCAAAAAACAGCCATCAACACTGATAACCCTTCTACATCCTTCAATCCAGCCATCCTTGATAGACTTCAGGAAAATATACATCCTTTTGAAGTAATGTGTAGCATCAGGCGTATGATTTGTCTCGATCAAGACTGTTGACCCAGGATTAACCCTCAATAACTCAGCACCATAATTCCACAGTTTCTCATAATGTCTTACCAAATTGCCTGAAATCTCATCTAGTGCAAAGAACTAGGCATTTCTACACTGCCCAAGACTTACCTTGAGACCATAGTCTTTCCTAACCACTTCTGCCATTTTCCTATAGCTAAACTTAGGCCTTTCCAAAATGTCAGGTATTAACATTTTTCCAATCCACTTATACGTAACAAGACAACCCAATTTTTGTTGTCTAGCACAATTATGTTTATCAATTAGTGACTTGATCTGGAATGAATTTTCCTTGTTCATGGGACTAGCCCATAGTCTAAAAGGGCAAGATGGCTTCCATTTTTCATTTTTACTGCACCTTACTAACAATGCTTTTGCCTCATTTTTTTCATACCACAATGAATAACCCTTAGACACAGCATAATTTGTTAACATATGTTTCAGTTCATCTCGATCAGAGAATTTCATACCTAACTCAGGCATCATAGTGTCCCATTTTTGGTTTGGATCATGAATAGGATGTTTTTTTACCTTACCACCAGCTTCTTCCTCTATGCCTCTTTATGGAATAAGGTTCTTCTGTGACAAAAAAGGATCAACAACTTCAGGCCATTAAATGTCCTCATCATCAGCTTCATGGTCCACCGATAGATCATACGATAATACCGAGTCCACATCATCTTCATATGTTTCAGTACCACTATCCCATTCTTCAGCTTTTTCTTCTTCAATCCAATCTAGTAAGGGTTCATGATGGTCATCAATGTAGATACTTATTTGATTATCATCATCATCAAACCCAGCATCAAGGAACCTAACATAATCATCTTCATCCCTGAGCTCCCTTAACCCATCTACGAGGGACCGATTTTTAAGACAGTAATACATATCCCAACATCTATTGTTGATCAATTTTTGGAGATAGGTCTTGAACTTCTTGAAATCCATGTTACGTACATCTAGCCCCATAACAGGTACTTTATCAGGATGAAAGTAAACCTAGGGATTAGGAGAAAAAACACCTTTATGGTAGACATCAATGTTGAGTGAGTCACGAGACATGCTTGCTGCACGAGACATGCTGAGAACCCTTGCTGCACAATCGACTAACTTTCCTTCACCTTCTATAAAAATCAATTTCACTGTCACGAGTTCACCGTTCATCGTTATGTAAGAACCCTAGATATCGATTTCACCCTTCACTGAGAACCCTTGATGGTGAATCGATATCCTTGTGGCACTTATGTTTGATGTAATGTGTTTTAATAATCCATGTCAGATTATCACCGGTAAACAAAGAATCGTAACCCACAGATGCCGGTCACCATTAAAAAACCTTATTTTTATTGGTAACTTTATTTGGATTTATAATAAAAAGCATTATTTCGTTGGTTTTTTGTTAACAACAAAAAAGTAATTGGGGTAATATGAACGTTTTTGAAACTTAATTGGTCTTTTAAGGCATTTTCCCTTCTTTAAACTATGCATTCCTAACCTACTTTTTTTCATTATTCCTTATATATATATATATATATATATATATATATATATATATATATATATATATATATATATATATAGACACACACACAAACACATGTTATCTTCCAAATATACTATGTCATCGGGTCCTACATCCCCAATGGGGGTGAGCATCCCGTCGTGTAACACCCGATTCCCAGATTGGATCAGTGGATGATATAGAGGAGTCAAATGTATGGTTTTGAGGAAAATTATATGCCACGACGTGACATGAAGGGTGTCACGATGTGGCATCCCAATTGAAGAATGTGGGATGCTTTCCATGATGTGATAAAAGGATGGTCACAACGTGACAAGCAGTTACAACCCAAACCCATAATTTTAAGGTGTCTCCCATATTTAAAGACATTAACTCATGACCTAGGTGTGACATCCCCTAATTTCTCGGCCAGAAAAGACCGATTTAATTTATGCTTTTTAAAATAAAATCAGAGAAATCTTTTTAAAAGATGTTGCGGAATTGGTCCCCAAACAAAATATGATAAAAGTTTATCAAAACCCTTCATTAAGAAGGTATATGTTTTCCATATATATATATCAAAACCTCGGGATGTCATGTTCCGATACAGATCAAAAGCATAAACAAGACATTATAAGCCTTTCAACAGTTATTTACAACTACTGGCCTATAATCCTAAAATCTCTCGTCATCCTCCGACTATGCTCGGGGTCCACTACATGTAACATAAAAAGGTTAGTGGGTCAGGCTTGGGAGCCTGGTGAGCATATAGGGTTTTCAACCCACAATAATAATAAACTTACTAAGTTCATCAATCAACAATAACCCTGATTACCCGTTCCCGTTATCCTCACTTTACGTCCCTAAACACTTATCACAAGGGACCTAGCCTAAAGAATATCATCAGGATGGACACTACTGCTAAGGGGTTTCCTCAGCCATACATGTCCTAAAGGCAACCATGTGAGGGATGGAGTACAACGAATGAACACTCTTAGTTCATTAACAGCTACAGGTTGCGGACCTGCTAATGTTTCCTACTGGACTGTCTAGAAAGTCCGTGGTCGTCATCCAAACTCCGCTAGAGGACTGGATCTCAAAACACATCGAGGCCTCTCATCAATTTTATTTTATCACACATCACTATCTACCCATGTTCTACCCAACATATTTGTAGATAAAAATACTTATACAGTTTAAAACTTGTATAAAACATCAACTCAACAGTTACCTCAAATAAAAAATTAATATATCTACACATAGCACGTATTATAAGGTAAATACTCCATATCTATGTGTAAAATGAAAGTGACTATACACTCACATGGTTTGATGATAATCGGGCAGCAATTCGTTTCCTAAAACGATCGTTTCTAATAAAACCGAGAGTTTTATTGAGAAATCGGGATTTCCAAAAGTCGGTCTTTGAAACCGAAAAGATAAATTTTCCGGGCTTCTCGGGCACTTCGTGGAGTATTTCGGGCTTTACAATCGATACCGGGGCTTTGCGGGATGTTAAGATGAAGAAAATATGGGTTTAAGGGTTAAAATTGACAAATTTTCAAAGTTACCCGGGAGGTCTCGCACCCTTCTATTTATAAGGGCAAGGCTTCCGATCGGACGGTCAGGAAGAAGACACGCGTCGCATATCCAAGGGTTCGCATGGAAGGCTCGCACGAGGGTAGCATGTGCGAATGGCTCGGTGTCGGCCTCTGATTGGACCACGATCTACTGGTCCACATGTGAGGTTCGGAGGCTAGGCGGTGCGAGGCTCGGTCCAGCTGCGAGCTTCGGATTGGGCCTCCCTTTGGTCGAATCAGAAGAGGACATGGGGCGACACGGGGCAGTCTCGCATGCGAGGGAAGGCAACACGTTTTTCCAGGTGGCTCGGTGACTCAGCAGGTTCCGGATACATGGCACATGCGAAGCGAGGACACGTGGCACTTCCGGGTGAAGCTTATCTATGCGAAATTTCTCGAATTTTGTGCCAAAATCTTCTAAAATTCATAACTTTCGCATACGAGCTCCATTTTTGACGTTCTTTATGTGCACGCGTAGCTAAAATTATGCTCTACAACTTCCTTTTAGACTTCATCGGCTAATTTTGACTTTAAATTTTATATTATTATTTTTAACAGATCGGTACAGGAAATTCATTAAAAATTCATAACTTCTTCATCCGACGTCCGTTTTCATCAGACTTTTTACCGTTGTGCTCCTAATGATGAGACATTCAATTGTCGTTTAGGTTATGTCGGCTAAAAATACTCGATCTAAAATTCGAGTTTTTAGCTGTCTACTGCTAAGCTGAAACTTCGAAAAATCATAACTTCCTCATACAAAGTCAGATTTGGGCGTTCTTTTTATCGAACTTCTTGGTTTGACAAATACTACGAATTTTGTTTAGATTAATAAGGCTAAAATGTAGTTTATCAAAAACTCACTTTTTACGACATTCAGTACCGTGTCGGTTTTGTCACGAAACTTCGACACGTCATAACTTCTTTGTTATAACTCGGATTTTGGTATTCTTTATATCCCAAAAATCCTTGTTTCGAGCACTACAACTTTATGTAAAGATAAAACACATAATTCACATAATATTCACATAATTCCTTTTCATTTCTTCAAAAAGAGTTACAAAGGTTAACCTAAACTATCAACTCAATATAAATGCCTAGGTTAGAAAGACGAGTGTTACAATTCTCTCCCCCTTAGGATGATTCCGTCCCCGGAATCACATATCACCAAACAACTGCGGGTAGCGACTCATCATATCACTCTCTGTTTCCCAAGTGAGATTTGGTCCATTGGTATGTTTCCAACGCACAAGTACTAAATCGACCATCTTGCATCGCAACTTCATAGTCTTACGGTCAACGATTGCCTCAGGTTCTTCGATCAACCTCTTGTTTTCATCCAACCTTAACTCAGAAATTGGAATTATGTCGGGCACATCTCCCGTGAACTTTCTCAAGTAACACACATGAAAGGTGTTATGAATACCCTCCAGTTCTTCCGGTAATTCTAGCTTGTAAGCTTGATTCTCGATCTTCTGTAGAACTTTGAACGGTCCAATAAACCTTGGACTCAACTTTTCTCGTTTCCCAAAATCTTATAAGTCCCTTCCACGGCGAGACTTTAAGTAAAACTGAATCTCCAACTTCAAAGGTTATCGGTCGTCTTTTCTTGTCAGCATAACTCTTTTGTCGATCTTGAGCAGCTAACATCCTTTCTCTTATCACTTTCAACTTTTCAGCAGTTTGATGGACTATTTCAGGTCCCATAAACTGCTTTTCCCCAGCTTCCAGCCAACATGATGGCGTTCAACACTTTTCCCCATACAAAGTGTGATAAGGTGCCATCTTAATGCTTGAGTGGAAACTATTATTATAGGATAATTCTATTAGAGGTAAGTGTTCATCCCAGTTACCTTGGAATTCTAGGGTACATGCTCTCAGCATATCCTCCAATGTTTGAATCGTTCGTTCGCTCTGACCATTGGTTTGCGGATGATCAGCTGTACTTAAACACAACTTGGTACCCAATTCCTCTTGTAGACTCCTCCAAAACCTTGAGGTAAAACGGCTGTCACGATCGGATACAATTGTTAGTGGAACACCGTGAAGCCTCACAATTTCCTTCACGTAAGAATTCGCAAGTTTATCCATAGACCATTTCTCTTTGGCTGCTATGAAATGCGCACTCTTAGTGAAGCGATCAACGACCACCCAAATCATGTCGTGACCGTTCCTTGTTCTAGGTAGTTTAGTCACAAAATCCATGGTGATGTCTTCCCATTTACCCATGGGTACGGGTAAAGGTTCTAAAATCCCATACGGTTTCTGATGTTGTGCTTTAACCCTAGCACAAGTTAGACACTCGGCCACATACTTAGCAACATCGAGTTTCATCATCAGCCACCAATATTAGGGTTTTAGATCCCTATACATTTTTGTACTACCGAGATGAATCGAGTACATGGTCTTGTGAGCTTCTTTCATCAGAAGATCTCTTACTCCGCCTGTCTTAGGTACCCAAATCGTATCTTGGAATACCCTCAACCCTTGGTTGTTTGTACCGAATACTAACGTTTTGCCCAAACGTTCTTCCTTTCAGTCATTTTTCTCTAAAGCTTCCTCTTGAGCTTTCTTTATACTTTCCACAATTACCGAGACAACTTCAATTCTCAACGCTCTTGGCCTTTTCTTTTCAAGGTTTACCTTCCGACTGAGAGCATCAGCAACAACATTTGCTTTACCAGGGTGGTAATGTATCTCACAGTCGTAGTACTTGAGTAACTCTAGACAGAATCATTGCCTCATGTTCAATTCCTTCTGATTAAAGAGATATTGAAGACTCTTATGATCCGTGAAAAGTTTACACTTTTTGCCATAAAGATAATGCCTCCATATCTTTAGGGAAAATACTACCGCTGCCAACTCCAAATCGTGAGTGGGGTAGTTCTTTTCATGTTCCTTCAATTGCCTTGATGCATACGCTATCACTTTATCCCTTTGGGTCAGGACACAACCTAACCTAACTCCAGATGCATCGCTATAAACTGGGAAGTCATCAACTCCTTCAGGCAACGAAAGAATCGGTGCTTCACACAATCTCTTCTTCAACTTCTCAAAGGCTTCCTTATGCTTCTCATTCCAAG